CACTTCCACACACCCGTTTTCAGTCCACACAAGACATAAAAGAAAATTCGCGGCGAGTACTAACGTTGATTCCTGAAAATGCCATTAGCACAAGTATTTTTTTCGGAAGGGGGTTTCTTTGAAGGCCATACAATAAATTTGGATGAATAATACATATTTTGTGTTGTACAGTATGTGACGTATGGGATCATCTGCGCACATTTTCTTGAGTTCCAAAATTCCTTCCCATCATAAATCCCAACAATAAATAGTTGAAAGATGAGTAATAGTTTAAGATAAATAAATAAAAATAAAATTTAAAATAGCGAGAGATTAGCAACATTTGAAAAACTAGACATTGTCGTTCCTGAATTATAGAAAACTTATTTGCAACCTTAAACGAACTGTAGGTTTGATTTTTCTGCATTGCTAACAAAATAGTAACTCACCCTTACCTCTACTCCTACCACTACAAGGAAAAGGAGAGGTCAACAAAGCATGGGCATAGTGAAGCTACATTTACAAGTATGTCCAGAAGTAACACAAGTGACCACCCAGCATTTGCTCAATTTATTAGGGAAACTAGATAAAAACTTGATCAAGATGGGGTCAAAGACCCGCAAGCTGAAATACATTATTTGTTACAAGGAAATAAAGTTTTTTTTAATATACACCAAAAATGTAAACGAATTCATTGTATATCATTGTTTTGAGATAATAAAATTTTTTTAATGATTAGTATAGTCTTAGGGTATTGAGACAGTTATACAGCAGAAAATATTGTACTTTTGACTTAAATTTGTGATTAAAAATATTCCAATGGGCGATATTTAATTTTCGTCCATTGATGAAGCAACATCTTTTACCTTCATCAAAAGAAAAAATGGCTGTTTCCGTAGATTTTATTTCTCTAAACCCGTGTTGTGAGTCAGAAAACTCTTAGTTTTTTCTGAGAAAAGTTTCCATTCGCGTTTAGAAAAGCCTCTCTAATAGTTTTGAGAAAACTGACAAAAGAGAAAATAGCTGGTAATTTTGAATTTCATTTTTGTTCCCTTTTTTTACAAAAGTGACTTAATTTTTGCTGTTTTGAAAATATCTGGAAATATTCCTGTGCATTAAGAAGCATTGAAAGTGTGAGCTAACGGGTGTATAAAGGGAGGCGCACAAGTTTTAATGAACAATCCGTAAATTCATCTAAAGCAAATGAATATTTATTTTTTTTATTTTACTGACTATTCTCAAGATTTCGTTAGAAGTATTTCCGGAAGTAAACATATGTCGGAAAGTTTTGGGAAGCGAATGATGTTGAATTCGGTGGTGTTGTGAGATCGATCGCAATTCTAGATACGTGTTGGTTAAAGAGATTTGCCACTTTTTACGGCATACGTGATTTTCTTTCATTATCGTTCAAAACAACATTCTCTTCTAATTATCAAGATGTCATATTTTATATGATATTCGACATTGCTTTAGTTTTTTTGTTACGAGCGTTCAAAATATTCTGATTTTTTTTCCTGAACTTTTACTTTCCTTAAAATTATTTTGTATTCTCGGAAGTAGATATGGAAACCGGGTGATACGTTATGATGTTTAAAATAAGCTATTGTTTTTACACGATGTTGTAATTCTTTCGGTGATCCAAGTGATATTTTTCTATAAAGTGTTTAATTTACTCCTTTTGAGGGGAAAACATGCGTTAAAGTGAAATAAAAGCTTGAGAAGAATATATTATATTTTTAATTTGTTTGAACAGCGTTATAAACTGCATCCCCTGATTCCTTTTGCAAATATACCGTAATTAATTTTATGTTAACTTACGTGAGTGCTCTGCACATGTGTGTATTGTGTACGTGTTCATGTTACTAGTTATTGTAAGAATTTGTGCTTCGTGATCACTGTAACCTGGATTAGTTTTTATTTCATATCTAGTTGTGTTTTTGTTAATTATAATTTGATATATTGCTTTTTGTGATTTAAATGTATTCCATGTAGGTACATTCATTGTAATATCTAAATTAAAAGAATGCAATAAATTAAAAAAAACTCCTCTTTTTCGAGCGATTCGCGCAGAAAATCAATATTGAAATCTTCATATATAACAATCGATTTAAAAGATTGCTAATCTTGTTCGGACTTATCTCTAGATTTTCTAAGAAAATGAAATTATCTAAAGTTTTTTTGTATTATGGCCTATAAAATTGCAGTTTAGGGACTGTTTCTGTATTGTTTGTGTAATAGAACGTTTCTAACCTTGGCTAATACAATCCTTTATTGACCTAGAACTAAAAAGTACGATTTTATTGAAAACAAAGAGTACTTGCCGAGAAACAAATTTTTAAACAGCATTTATTAACTTTGTTCTTTACATTTTATTACGTATTTAATTTTATTTAATAAGAGTGAGTTTAGATTAGTATTTTAAATTCATGGAGAAGTTTTATTTCAAAATGTACACCCGTCGTTGGATGAGAGAATTGTCCGGCCATGTTTTCGACGTTGGTGGACCTTAAATATTTCATGACACAGAGTTACAAGATTATCATTCGACCTATTTTCTTTTTATTCTCTAATGAATCATCCAAATAGCTTTCGGCCACAGTCGAACTTTTCCAACCCCGACGTCTTTTAAAGCTAAGCAAAGAATCTCTTGCACCGCTAAGGAAGTTGTAGACATGTACTTCAATCATTTTTTTCAGATTTTAGAAACTTGGGGAAAGATGCAAAACAGCTGGATGTGACGTATGTACTCCGACAGGTTCTGTGCTACATGTGTTTCTTTATATAACTAGTGCTACAACAGCACATCCTTTCTTGCGTTATTATAACCAGCAACATTATATTGATATATTGTATTTTCTGTGCTGCTAACACCTAAGTCATTATTTCAATACGTCCAATTCAACAAAAAGAGAGCAACGCCCTGTTACATTCGCTTGGCTAATAATATGAATACAGTAACTAGAATATACGCAATTGTCATCAAAATAATTGCTAAAATCCTGGCCGCTCATTCGTGAGTTGCCTTTCGTCCTAATATAACAGTTCCTATGGCGTTTCATTTCATCGCCGACTTCTAACTTCCGCCCTTTAGATACGATGAGAACTATCGCTTTTCAACAAAGCGTGTGTCCATGGTTTCTCGGAAGAGAGATAAGATGATATCAACAAAATACGTTCTTCTCACGTATCGATGCGGCATTGTTGCGAAATTTCTATTAATCTTTGGAGATTGCTTAAAAAGAAATACATTGAGAATACACATTGAGTAACAGGAAAAAAGCGAGCTAGGAAAAATAGAATTAATATTGGCATTTTCTATTGGAAATGATAATTAAAATTAAAACTATTTTTCGTTACTACTCGTTTATCAAAAAAATGTAATGACCCTTTTAAAGAGCTAATTTTGTACAACAGACTTTGACACAAAAATCTTAAATTTTTAAGTTTTAATTTTTTTTATTTTCGAAAAATTGGGGAAGTTAACGAAATTGAGACCTTCACCATTCTCTTAAACATCCTATGCACTTCAACAAAGTAATTTAAACAAAGAATTTGAAGCCTTTTTTATTTTGAAAATCTTAGGAGCATTGTGTAAAGTATTCCCCAAAATTAAAATATCGGTTTCAAATTCCTGGGGCCGTGACATGAGGTAGAACGATTAGGGAATATCAATTTTGGAGAAAATCGGCTGAACGGTTTTTGCGCTAGCGTTGTGAACAGACGGACGTTTTGCCGTCAATCGATTTTTGAGTATGAACGATGCACAAAACATGGATTCCGGCTACCCCACGTGTTAGAGAATTTTTTTTCTATATTTAGCAACTGGATTTATCCACTTTTTTGTTACTAGGGCCCGGCAACAAGAGTTTTTGTGTCGAAAATTCGCAGTTTTCCGTCGCTCGATTACAATAATTTTTCTTACGTGTGTGAGAAAAAGTAAAAATGAACAATTTATTATACTCAATATGCAACGAGCGTAAACTAATATACGTATTTCCTACGAAGATCAAAAGGTTTGACATCACAGAGTGAAAACTCTCTTCTGTTTTTCGTATCCTACAGAGATACAATAATCCTCAATAATGCCTTTATCTTCAATATTTTCAGACAAACCTGGTAATTCTTCGTGTCCGCTTGTTAATTCGTGACCGATGTCAATTTCTCTTTTCATCTTCTCCTCCTATCTCAAAAAATATGAAAAATTACTTCTTAAACAGGTTACGCCAATGTGACACCTTCATTCACAGCACTTACGTTATATTTTTATTCATTACTAAAATCTAGAGTATTATTTGTCATAGAATAATTTGGCAACAAACTTTAGGCAATTCGGGGAGCAAATTTTCACTTACTGCTGGAGCTATCTTCACAAAATCCTCTGTATACAATATCTTCGTATACATTTGCTCCGCCATTCTAACTGCCACCTTTGATAATCTTGCTAACAATGCTATTCTTAGTATCAGTAATGCCACCTTTGAAAATAATTTTTCAATAATTCAAGATATAAAATCACTCAATGTTTATTATACATTGTGAGAACAATGTGACGGTCTATGAAAACTTTCCTTGGGAAATTCTTGAGATGTGACATTTAAAACTGGTAGACTGATAAGAAATTACGAGAATACTATATTTGATATTTATTACAAACCTAAAAGTGAATAATTTTGTATGTTAAGATTGTATAAACTCTTCTGGATTACTTTTAGAAGGTAATTGTACTAGTGATAATTTCACATCACCTCACGTTTAAAATTACGTAGTTTTTCCATGTACTTTCTCAATAGCTGTCTTGTGCGCACTTCACACTCAACATCAGAAGTGTATTTTGTCAAAGGTTAAATGAAAATAAACTCACTGTAAATAGAAATGAAAATCGCTGGCAACTAGCGTTACCGCGTTAAATAGATTTCAAATACTGCGGGCTCTGCTAATATGTCAAGTTGCCACCAGGCAGTGCTACGCTACGCCAGCGCTGTCTCTCGGTCAATATTCTGCACTGCTTGAACTTTATTATTCTACACGAGTGCTTCAGCGGTAGTTGCTCTGTGCCGGTCGGTGTGGTCTGGTGGGTTGCTGTGGGTAAGGAGGGGTTGGCAGTGTAGAAAAGAAACTTAGGCTGGGTAGAATTGGGTGGCTAAGTGTTGTGTTTTGTATGTTATAAGAGTTGTTAACTTCATTTCCTGTTAAAATGTTTCATCTTAAGCATGTTGCAAGAACTGTCGTTCCTTTGAAGCAAAGTTGTTCTCATCTGGACTTGAATACATTTCTGAAGGTATGTCCGACCGCAGTTCAAATTGGAGCCTCAAGATCGTATGCAGATCATCAAATTCCCGAACGATTACTGTCGGTGCCAGATGCAGCGAATCCGAAGTTTTTCGACATGGTTGAATATTTCTTTCATCGAGCATGTCAAGTAGTAGAAGATAAATTAGTTGATGATATGAGAGTACATCGAATGTCTGCAGAAGATCGCAAGAAGAAAGTAGCGGGCATTCTCATGTTAATGCAGAATTGCGACCATATTATTGAAGTATCTTTTCCGATTCGCCGAGATTCTGGTGAATACGAAATGATTACCGGCTATCGAGCTCAACACAGTACACACAGAACACCCTGCAAAGGAGGTATGTTTAATTATAATTTTTTGTTTAATTGGTAATTTATTAGGCAAATAATTATCAGTAAGCGTGGTTTCCGCTTTCTAAGGTAGATATTTTTTGTTACATACTTGTGAATGTGAAGTTTTCACTGTGCCACATGCAAATGTGAGGTTATGCAAAGTTTCCGCGTACCCAATATTTTGATTGAGCTAGTGGCGCAGTTCGCACTTCGCTTGTTTATTATTGTTATTTTCTGGGATAAGTAGTAAAGTGTAGAGGGCGTTAATAGCGCATGTGAAAATTATGTGTTTTGTATGTCGTTACAAGGCGACTGACAGGCATGATCACCAGAGGTAATTTGGAATGATTAGCCAGAATTTAGCGTTACTAGTTAGCAGATCGACTGCCATATCCTTGTGGTCGATGAATTGTTCTCCTTTAAACCGTGGCGCACAGGTTACCCCGCCAGGTCACGGCGCCTGCGCTGAGGTGACCTGTTACGTAACTTAGGGTCAACTTATATGTTCTAACGAATTATTGAACGACATTCAAGATGTTTTAAAATTGTCGTGATCATATTTGTGATGTATGAAGGAAAAGGTTTTCTTTCTTCACATTTTATGATGAAAGTTTTCATTGTACGAGTGAATGTTTCATAGCTTTAATTCGCTTTCTTCTATGTAAAAAGAAGTGACATTGTTAATGTATTATTATTATTAACGAGTGTCTAATATACTTCATTTGCTATTCTCCAGAAATTCGGATATGCTCATTGACTTTATGAATGTATGACAAAATGCTGCGTGAATTTACCTCAGTGTCTGACATCAAAAATTCACTTTCTGTAAGCACCTCAAGTTCACCTATTCAGGTAGAAAGATAAAAATGAACATGTAATGCATTTATTTTTGTTGACACCCACAACTAAGTATTCTTGTAAATGCTACAGAGATAATTTTTTCTTCCTTTCAGTGCAAAATACGAGGGAAAGCAATGTTAGTGGTTTTGCATACCAATTTATGGTGCAGGTTTTGAGGTACGGCTTGACAGAGAGTGCGCATTTGAACTCTGAATACGTTTAAATGTTTAATGTGAACTGAGCTTTCATACTTACTAACTTTATGCTTTCGGTAAATGGGCTGTGTGAATAAAACATTTTTAATATTGTACTTTTCTATAAATTACTTAATAATGGTGCCAAAGATTTATTTTTAATGATGGAGATTTGAGATTTGTTATCACTACTTCGCGCTTTTTCTATCGAAATTTCTATCTTTTGATAGAGCGTGTATCCCCTGATAGATTATATTATTGTCGATGAAAACAGTAATTGCAAGTAAACAATTTTTAGTAGAAGGCTGCAACTTATTTTTAATAAAAAAATAGCCATCGTACACGCAGTCCAGTTTTAGTTTGAATTGCGAACGAGTTCGGAGTGAATTTTTTAGGCAAGGAAGTACCGGTATTTTTTAGCTAGTGATTCTCAAAAGGTGTACTGCAAAAATAATTTATTAACGAAAGTAAGAATAGGAACTTCACATAGATATTCTAAAAACAGGTTTCAGAGACAAGACATTTATTCTAAAGACCTGTCAGATTAAAATATGTTGTCAATAATTACATTTTTGTCATTTAATGAAAAATGTGTGTTGGTTTTCTATGGCAAAATGATAAAATACGGGAATTTGCAGTCAAACTTCTCCTGAAGCCGAAATTAGCGGACGTATTTTATTTTGAATGCGAATTGATCGTGAGAATAGGTATATTATTGATAACTGCAGTGGAATAGATAACTTAGGTCCGGAGAGAGTGAAGCCCCATTGCATATAGGATTGTTTGGATGTGCCGCGCGCCTGAAATATTGTGAGAACTGAAGTGATTCAGTTACGTTGTAATTTGCAAGTTTTGTATGTGTGAAAAAGACTAAACGAAGCATCTCACTGAGTGTGCGAATGCCTTTAGCGGGGAAAAGTGTTGTTTGAGGAAGGGGGTGGGGGAGATTGAACATCCCCGTCTTTGCCATTGTTTCGCGTTGTTCTGCCTTGTCGCCGGGGGCCGGCCCCTGGTCTCTTGCCAGGCCTCGCGACCGCGCTGCGCCTATTTCGAGTCTGCCCCCCCCCCTCCACCCCCCAACACCATCCCGCATCTTCTGTGGTTACTCCGCTCGGGACGGTGGGTTCTCGCGGCGAGGGCTTTGGAGCATACTGAACAAAGGCGCAAGCGCAAGAACTTAGAGAGGATAAGAACGGTTTTGGTAGATCAGCAGTAAAGATTGGTAGATGAATTCGCACGATATTCCAGGAGAGGAAAGCATTGGGAAATGTCCCTTCTATTGCAAGTGTGTTTACATCGTGCGGTCTATTTTTACATCGGCTTCCCCGAGTGGAAGTGATCCCGCACCTGTGAAAAGAGGAAGGTGGCAAGCCCCTGCAGCCACGCTTCTATTTCCTGCCATGGCAGGGTGTTTTTTTTACATACAGGCATACAATATTCATGCGGACTCGTAAGGTTACATCCTCAGTTGTACTGTGCTATGGAAATGCCTAACCAGATATTTAGAGGAACAGCACATACAGTTCTGGATTTCGAATTTGGTTAATTACAGAATAGAAAGTTAATGTTGCTCTGCAGCTCTAACAGATCTCTGAAAGGAAGTTGCGTTCTTGAAAGGAGTAGAATGGGACACAATTTTTTTCTTTGTCTCATGGTTAGACACATTTAAAACAGTGTTAAGTCATAAAGAAAAGTTGGGATAAGTAATTGGAATTTGCAAAATTAGTTTGTGTGCATTTTACAGTTAGATCTTTCACACTACTTTTTTTTTAATTCATTAAATATTAATCCAAAATATTTCCAGATCTTCATTACCACCAAATCAATTTCCTGAATTTTATTGTAAGTCTAAACCGAAAATTTATTTCCGTCAACATTTGTGGGATCGTGAGTCATGATAATGTGCAGTTCCTAAGTTTAAATCTGCGGGCCTTTTCGTTGAAACAAAAATATTTAATTCAGTTCAATTTCAAAATATATTGCTTACAGTATCTACGTGGCCATTACGATAAAACAATAATGGAGAGAAAATAAATCATGTTAAAATTTAAAAAAAGCATTACGTTGTTTTTCTCTTTCTTTCCAATACTAAAAAATAAAAAAAATAAAAAAAGGGGGGGGGGCTTACGTTCAAAGAAATGAAGGAAGTGCCGAAGCATATCGTATGCCTTTTTCCTTCAAGCATATCGTATGCGTTCTTCCTTTTATTTACTGACAAGGGAAAGCTCGATCATAAGAAGCAATTGATCTCTTTTTCGGATGTGTCTCTGGCTTGGGGAAAACTTGACAGACTTGGGAGCAAGGAGCAATCGGAGAATGTCCATTTGAAGGTGGGCTTAACCTGACCATCAGTTTTTAGCTTTCTTTCTTTCCTTCTGTGTGTCTTTCTTCCTTCCTTCCTTCCTTCCTCATTCTTCTTCTTCTTCTTCTTCTTCTTCTTCTTCTTCTTCTTCGTGTTTGTATTCATCGCCAATAAATAGCTTAAATAAGTGCCAAGTATTAATTTTTGACGAACAAAAACAACAATTGTGTAATTTTGGGACCATTGTCCGACTTTGCAAGCTAGCTGCGTCCCCTGTGCCTGGACCTAGTTTAATCCCCAAGGGATAAATGTGGCGAACATAATGTATTCTCATCAAGTAACTAGTAACTTCCGCCTGCCTGAGCTTTTCTTCGTTGTACGGTTCCAAAAAACTGAAGATTTGAATAGAAAGCTACAACACAGTTTTCCCCCGACCGGGTCAACATTAATAATATATATGAGACAGAACATTGCAAATATAACCACCCAACCGTAATTGGTTAATAATGCTTCATGTATGGTTCTTAACCCATTATCTCGCGAATTAATTTCGCAACACTGCGCTCTCATTGCCTAGCTCATGCGCTCAAAGCAATTGTTGTAGCTAATCATTGTTAGATGTGATAGCTAACTAGGCAGTTTTAGAAGATTCGCAAAATTTCTATACGCTCTGGCGAGGAGCGTACAGTGCTTTATTTATCCGTAAATGAACATTGTACTTTTTAGGAATGCCAAAACTTTGTTTTTGTTTTGTATAGCACCTTCATGTCTATTGAGGATTTAAAATTCTCAAGTTAAGATTGAACTAAGAAAAAAAACCCATTGAAGTTGACTGACCCATTTTCGGGGCAATGGGCATAAAGTTATAAAAGAAGGAATTTTAGCTATAGATAATGGGATCGCGAAATGTCGGAGCAGGAATGGACCCGCGTGCACCACTCAGGTCTTCGCGCGCCTCTCGCAAGCTCGACGTGGTAAACAAAACTCAGCCGCACTAAAATAGAAACAGGTTCACAGCATCAATTGTTTCCGAGCAGTTACTTGAAATAATCTGCTGTCCTCCGCATTTATAAAGGGCGAGGCCACCTCTGCGTTGAAGAGCATATTTCCAAAGTGTCCATCTCCAAGAACCACAATTTTTCAGGAAGGGAGAGCGGTCAAATTATCCTTCTAGTTCAAGTTTGGAATCAATGGTTTTCGCAGACATTTCAACGTAGGAGGAGCGAGATTTTGAACACGATATTTGGCAGCCTGGCGGACAAGCGTTTTAAGAATAGGTTGATACGTAAAACTAGCAAACGGAAATGGAGATTCGTCACGTGGGAAACAAGCTCTTAAGTTGGTAATGGCAGTAATATTTTCATTGTATGATAGCTATGAAAATAGCTTCTGTAGTAGCTTACTAATACTCGCCACCGTGCAACGGCAATTTGCACAATGTTCTTAAATCATTAGAGTAGCCTAGGGTGACACAAGAGATGTTATCCAACGGCTTTGGAACGGTGCTCCCACTTCCGTACGATTCGCCATGAGGACGCAATTGTTCGTTGACTATTTATTTGGTTCAGACAGTCTTCACTCTCACTGGATCGACGCAAATAGTATTAGTTATGGCGTACAGATCTATCTCTACAAATCTTAACTCGAAACCAATGTTGTCTAGATTTCC